TACAAAAACTAAAAGATATTAGCCAGGCATGGTGGCATGCATCTGTAGTCCCACCTACTCGAGAGACTGAAGTGGGAGAACACTTGAGCCCAGGAGATCGGGGCTACAGTGAGCTGCAATTGCACTGCTGTACTCCAGCCTGGGTGACAGAGAGTATGTCTTTAAAAATAAATAAATAAATCCATATAGTCCCATTTCTGTTTGAATAGCTATATAGTAAACATTTTGCATGGAGTTGTTTTTGTTTTTTGTTTTTTTGAGACGGAGTCTCGCTCTGTGGCCCAGGCTGGAGTGCAGTGGTATGATCTCAGCTCACTGCAAGCTCCACCTCCCCGGTTCAGGCCATTCTCCTGCCTCTGCCTCCGGAGTAACTGGGACTACAGACGCCCGCCACCACGCCTGGCTAATTTTTTCTATTTTTTAGTAGAGACGGGGTTTCACCGTGTTAGCCAGGATAGTCTCAATCTCCTGACCTCGTGATCTGCCCGCCTTGGCCTCCCAGAGTACTGGGATTACAGGCGTGAGCCACCGCGCCTTGCTTAATTTAGGTTTTCTATCATCCAAAATTTGTGCAGTCAATTTACTAGTCTTTCAGATTTAAAAACCACAAACATTACAATAAATACTAAAGCACCCACAGTAGCCAGACTACTAAGGCCATGGTTATTGTATTTTTGGAGTGTCAGAAGAAAAGGTCAGAAGAAAAGGTCATAACCCATAGATAGGTATCTAGTGTGTGGGGTCAGCAGACACACCACACACAGCCAGGAAGGCTGAAGAGATTAGAGTCTCAACGCTGGGAAAGGCCTTTGAGATTCTTAGCTTGGGGTCCACGGTTGTACTTCAGGGACCCCAGAAACTCCCTGAGGTTATAAGCAAAATTCTATCGCTGCCTTTTTTCTTCAGAAAGCCTCATGGCTTTTGTCAAATTCTCCAAGGAGACTGTGACCTAAATAAAATATTTTTTTTCAATGCTTACGAGTCCTTGATCTAATTCCAGTGTCTAGAGAAAATGGGAGCTGTGTTTGGCTCACACAGTAAATTTATGGCAGAGACGGGTATCAAAGCCCCACTCGTGACTACATCTGTGCTTTCTGCCATCCTGGGCGCTAGAGGGAATTGCGCTGCAATTCATTCAATTATTTCTCAGTCTCAATAGATGACAAACCCCTTGCCCTTACCTCTGATTTAAGGTAAGATAATTTGGGCTGCAAGCAGGGTGCATCTTGGAGCGGGGAGACCTTGACATCAAACAGGAAGAGTCCTATCGGGGCAAGGAGACAGCAGCCCAGAAAGGCTGTCACCCAGGGTAGGTGTGCAGTCACAGTGAGGGCCCAAGGACTAAGGGCTGTGACACTAAGAGTCTCGGCTTCTGTGTAATCTCACCCAAGTCACTTCCCTGGTCTACGACCCAGTTTCCCAAATGTGTAAAGGGTCCTTTAGACCTCGCCCTAAAAAGTCAGGGGCGTGGCTTAAAGAGGACCGCGCTTCCCGGGCCCCGCCCCCAGGCTCTACGTCGTGCGTGACGCCCGCCGCCGCCTAGGAAGCGACGATGAGGTCATCGCCCTCCGCCTCGGGGGCGGGACCCTTG